CCACGTGGAGCTTGGATGGCTGGTGGCTCGTCGAAGAGAGAGAAATTGGTGTCAAAGAGTGTGGCTGGCAATATATCTTGCATCATGAAGTTGGGATCCCAAAAGAAATTGGAATCGCTTGCACCCACCTCAGTAGACACCGTTGGCACCGTTTGCTCCTGCGCAGTCTCATTACGAGGTGGGTGTGATAGCTTAGTATGACGAGCTAGAAGGTCTTGCCTAGTGAAGCTCTGTCCACATTCGCAGCCAAATGGCTTCTCCTGCGTGTGCGTTCGCTCATGACGGACTAAATGCTCTAGCCGCTTAAACTGTTTGCTACAGTAGTGGCATGGCGGCACAACAGTTTTGGGTCTACCCCGAGGCATTGGGCGCAGTAGCTCGTAGGGCAATGCAATTTATAGAAATCGTGGATATTGTTTAAGGGTCAGAGTTGTCCAAGACTGTGGCCTGTCATGCTTATTAATTGACATTACGACATCCCCTTCTCAATGAGGCTACTCCGCAATGCTCTGTTGCAAAATACATCGAACCATGCGCAAGGAAATGGCATGATACAAATCGGTACCAAAGATCTCGCATACCTTTGAGAGAGCAGTTAGTAATTAGAGCCAGAACTAATTAATTGTGTAGATGGACTTGGTGAAGAATTATGAGCAGTCCGTAATGTTTAAATTTCACAGCTAAACTCGATAGATGCAAGCTTCATCATTTGGTGCATCTCTTTAGCTTGCCGATCTAGATCACCCAACCCTTTTCCTATTAGGGCTAGTCCGCATGCAATTAACAAGCTTAAGCTTTTTAATCCCGTCTCCTTGCTTATAAGGTTGCGGGACTGGCCAAGCTTGCAATTCGCAGCAAAGTTTAGGGGACCGGTGCCCACAATTAAAACTTGCAACAAACCACCACTCAAACTCTCCAATTCACATATTCGGTCCTTCAATAACGGCATTCGCAAAACGCAATCATGCTTCGCTGGTACGTAGGATGGATGTCACCTTAAAGCATATATTAATTACGTTGTTCATTTGAGGACGGCAAAAAGCATTGGATAGTGAACTGACCCGGGACGCAGGTACCAACGCAAGCTCGCCTCGCGGCCACTTTTGACGCAGAGCGTCACCACCGCCGTTTTGTTCGCGGTCGGCGATATCACGGCCCAGCAGGCCGTCGAAAAGAAAGGCATCGACAAGCACGAGCTGGCCCGTACCGGTCGCATGTTCCTCTACGGTGGCGGTACGTCCTTACTCCTCATTATCTGCATTCTTCTCATGAAAATCAACCTTCTCCAACCTCAACTCCAAGCTCTCAACATTTTTCTCTCACAAACTTCTTCACCTCTCTTTTCCACCTCACGTCACTTAGCTATCCACTATCTTACCCCACACCACCCCCATGGATTGGCAGATTGGATCACTGCCAATTCCCTCAGCTCCACCCTTTTCCCCCACGACCCCCTTTTTTTAGTATACGCTTTCATACCCTTATAAAAACCGCATATGTAGGAAAAAAAAAAAGTCACATGCTTACGTGAACCACAGCTGTCTTCGGCCCCGCTGCTACGACCTGGTACGGCATCCTGCAGCGCTCGATCCAGATGCGCAACAAGAAGGTCGAGATGGTAGCTCGCGTAGCGGCCGACCAGCTGATCTTCGCGCCGACCTTCATCGGCCTCTTCTTGTCGAGCATGGCCGTCATGGAGGGCGGCAGCCCCAAGGAGAAGCTGGCCAAGAGCTACGCCCCCGCGCTCCAGACCAACTACCTGATCTGGCCCTTCGTCCAGATGGCCAACTTCACCCTGGTGCCCCTGGAGCACCGCGTGCTCGTCGTCAATATCGTCAGCATCGGCTGGAACTGCTACCTCAGCATGGTCAACAGCGCGAAATGAGCGGCTTGCTAGTTGTCAATTTCTTGTAACGGTTCCGGGTGTATTCCGAGCACCACGGGTGGTAGTGACGACAGGCAGGGTTAGGACAACAAAATGGTCACCAAGGATAGATCTGCAGCACTAGATACCAATGACACGACTCTCCAGGACGAGAATTTCATACCTACTGTAATCTCAAAGGATAGAGTTGGAGGCAGGGGTAGCCTCAGTTGTAGACAAGGCGTTTGTTAAGAGCGGTCCTTGCCTTCGGTTGTTGGAAAATTTGTGTCCTGATCTACTTTGGTGAATTTCTTTTCTAATCATTTAGGGCATGGTTTTACGATAAACTGGACAAATCTTAGCACAGGGCTTTATTTTCGTTTGGCAAGAATATAGATGGGCCTGGTTTCTGATCAGACGTCTGAGATCGACCGAATATGAAAGTATTTACACTGAAATTTATTATGTACCAAGTGTGAGGCCGTACGATACTATCCGAGGTCGTAGTCCAAGCTGATACGGCCAGGATCGCCTCTACCCACTTCAGGGTTTTCCGAGAGAAGGCACCGTTACCACCGGGAGGTCTCTTCTTAACTTCAGAGAAGTCGTTGTGGTACTCCTCCGGCGTAGCTAGACATTGAAGCCGACCTCTCCGGCAGCAAGGCTCCTGGTCATAGCATCCTACACAGCTTCCCAATCTCCAAAGTCATCGTTTTCGGGTATCCATCGAAGCGAACGTATTCATACAGTACTAACATTAGTTCGTAACATGCGTCGATATTCATGGGGTGCCTTCGGCTAGGCAACTTGATCTAACCACCTAAGGTATAGGCGACAGATCATGAGAAAAGGAAGTCCTTCAGCACGGGAGATCCAGAAAACTCGGGGTTTAGTAATATACAGCTGCAGCCATGTTAGCAAATAAGGTATCTATCTTACTAGCGATGCTTGCCCATAAGGGAGGCTTACTTCAAAAAGTATTGCAGGCCAGCTCGGCGCTTCTCCAAAAACTTGGGCCGAAACTTTGATATAATGCTCTTGGGTGGTAATTCCGGTACGGCGGCCTCAAAATTGGGGAATGTTCGTATTAATCGCCATCGAAAATCGTCGAATTCGGAGTATCGCTTCCTTATGTTCATATAGCTCCCCTATAGATATATCCATTAGCTTGTATTCCTCTTCGCCGTTCCTACAATATAGATGGCGCGGGACTTACACTCAACGTCTCGACTCGTATATTCCAAACTACAAATGCCCCGATGCTGGTCGTGCTTCCGTTGACCGTCACATGGTCTGTTATCTCGACACTCTTGGCCCAGCACGCACTTCCCCTATCGTCAAAACTACTGTTTTCATTATCCTGTAGTATAATGCCGCCTGTCGGTATAGACTCTACAGATGTAGAAGATGTATTTCTCGTATGGCCGGGATGGTTGTTTATCCAATATGGCGGCGAGGTCACAGGCGATATAGGTGAAATGTCTTCGCTGCGATCTAGCACCTCTTCCTCTCTTCTATTATTCGATAATGAGCCATCTATCCCATGGCTGGACTGTGGCGCATTCGGTGCGTCCGACTCTGTCTCGGTGTCTGTCTCGGTTGCAGGTGGCGACGGAGGCGGATTCAAACGCAGAGTGGTTTGCGACAGGTTCTTGTGCACACCCCCGTTCATGCTGCTGTCTCCGTTGACATGGGTCTCTACCACCGACGCCATCCATCCGTCCATGCGCGCACAGCGCATGTGTTGTCAGGAGCCGAGCGAGCAAATCGGAAAGGATATCGGGGGTGCCGCGAATGCGATCGGTTGCACACGAGCTGGGACACGTAGTACTAGAAACGCGAAAGACCAGACCGGACTCTATTCCAAGAAATTCTCCAATTCGCCAAAAGCGGGGTCGGCAAAGAAACAATCCAATGCAATTGGCAAATGCGGTAGAATTTACCTAGGAAAGAAGAAATGCGGTTGTCATTGATAAACGTTCAAGGTTGCGCTAGGTTAAGAGTTGAAAATAGCGTGAAGACGAACATTGAAGATACGGGGCAAATGTACCTAATTTAGAGGATATGTACCCCTGTACCTAGTGCCTTTCAATTGGCGCTACAGGCCTGGGGGTGATCACCAGACGTGGGGAAGGGAGGAAGAACAGCCCACGTCACGTTCGGGGCTCGGCACTCGGGATTTTCAGGGGTCTGACATCAATTTGCAACCGCAACCGACTTCTTTCGGGTATTTTCAACCTATTCATACAAAGTCACTGTTCGTCTTTTGTTCATGAGTGAACGGCAAGTTTCTTTGATGAGCCCTCTAGGTAGGTATTTTTCCCATAGCAAGCTTTGGGAGCTTGTATGTCTGACTATTAATACATCTCATAAACAATAAATACAATATAAGGAAGAAGAAAAAATAGAAGAGTCAGCCATCTGAGGAATCGAACCCCAGGATCTAGCGAACAGGTTGCAGAGAGGAGTTGCTTAGAAGTTTTGGATAACCATGTAAGTAGAGGTTATGCCGCTAGACCATACCAATCCGGCCATTGAATGTGGCAAATTTCTTGGTGATTCCCTGAATGGTTGTTGTATTGTTTTAAATATACACAAATCTACTTCCAAGTAGAAGCTGTTTCATAAGGTACTATGTAGGTACATAGCTAGCCTCAGTGCTTACATGTAGGTAGCACGGTAGTCATCGTTTAGGGATCCACATCTTTAAGAATTTCAATGTCATTTTTTCTTCATATGTGTCTTGCGCATGTCAATTAGGTTGATAAGCGGCTGAGATTTAGAGTGAAGTGGTGGCGGTAAGATGTCAGTGACACTGAGCTTCATAAGCTCTATTCACGACGAGAGCATGTACGTGATTAGATTCAATACAAAAGATGAACGCTCGACAAGCCCAAGTGACATCAAAGCAAAGGACTAGACAAGTAGAATCTACAAGGTTGCGTCTAAACTAGAAAGGTTAGAGCTGGGCTATTTTGTATTTATCATTGTTTTGCTAATATCTAGGTATGTGTAGTATAAATGTTTGTTATGTTCGCTAGCGCTGCCTTGACTAGGTACCTAAATAATTATGCCCCTTATTAGTTGTGATAACGAACAATGATACCAGAAACACAGCCGCCGGTATCACAGCAAGGCATGAATGGTGTAGCGGTAACATTTAACCCTTTCATTATGAAAGGTTAAGCTTGAGGTTCGACTCCTCGATCATGCATATACTGTTTCCATTTTATTTTAAATCGTGGCATATTACTTAGGGAATATGAGAAAGAGATAAATCATCTGTAAATTCTCGGCATAGGCAATAGCTTTAATTTTCTACTTGGGCCGGCTTTTTAAGCCGTTATATAGACAACTGTGGTCCACGCATGTTAGATGACTTCTAAAAGTCTGGCATATACTGGCGACTAAGCTTTAATGCCCTATAAATGTAAGTGCGTTAAAGAAAATGATTGGAACGCATTTTATAAGCTTGCTTTTGACATTATATAGGTAGCATATAATGACCTACTTGCATAGGTACTTAATGGAACACGCATCGAAGCTGGTAGGCAATTTGCCTGCCCCTATGTTATTCAGTTAAATATCAAGTTACGCGGCTCATCAAATTGGTTATATAATTAAAGAGCCTGGCAGTCCTAGTGTATTAGAGTTGCTGAAGAAACTTGGATACGAAAAAGCAGGAAATTTTCTGATGAAAGTGACGAAATTTTGGGATCTAAGCCTTGCAATTACGTGGTTTTCGTAACTTCAATGTGTGCTTTCACTCGAAAGATACAATACGTGTTTCTCTAGACCAGTAGATGGTATGTGTAACCCGTTCGTGGTTGGATTCAGTTTCTGTGTACTCTCCTGGGTTGTCACGTATAAAGACATATAATAGAATTGGTGATTAAATAGTATTTATAAATAGACTTATTGAAGTACTAAAATGAAGATGCATTCCACTACAGCAATTGAAGCAACATCACGAGATACCTAACTGGGTCTACCGAGTGAGAAGAGCGATTTGGTAAATATTCTGTCGATCTATCTAGCCGACGATAGTATGTAGCTCAATAGAATTGCTTAGACAGACGCCTGCAAGAATATATGGGAAGAGGCGGTCAAGCAGTGTCCTGTGCGTCCTCCTGTATGGGTAGATGAATGGGGAAGTGAGATGTCCTTAGATGAGTGGAGCTACGGAGATCCTACGGGGAGATAACCGACCAGATCTGGTCGCGGATGAAGTTGGAAGTTGCGCCGCAACACCGGTGCCATTCCGTTGTGCTGTGTTTTGGTATGTAATCATTTGTCTGCTTTCATTCTCATGTCTTATATTCTTCGTCCTCCACGTGTCTTGTATGGTAAGGCGTGGTGGCATTTGTCTCATTCTATTAATATTCATGTTTTCACATGTCGCTTTCTGCTTAGACATGGTTGAGGCTGTTGAGGAATTCCGTATGACTTGTGAGATCGCAGAGCAAATTGTCCGATCCACCGTGGAGGGACTGGAAGCCTATCCTGGCGGAGAGGAATGCGCACTGTCTACGGAAGTACACTGCGGAGAAATAAGCAGCGATGGAACTTACACTACATACGAACTGAGATACGACAGATGCAGTGGTAGTCCCAGATATGCGACTCTGAAAATAGCAGAGGTTGGTGCTTATCAGGCATCGTTGCTCCATATGAATGGTTAGTGCGGGGACTGCGGTGGTCTTCCATGCTTGGAATACGACGGCTTCGGTGGAGATATTTCCATGGAAGCAACATGTCTCAGCAGGAATTCGTTAGTTGCGGGGTCGCAAGATTCGCATACCGTCAGTTACCTACCTACGTATTGTAAGTTGATAGGTACTGGGCTGCTTGAAATGGTAGCTGGTAGAGATCCATTGCTGATAGGGACCCGTACAGGAAGTCTTTCGTCCACAGCGTTTCGATGCTCTCAAATACTGGTGCAAAATCGATGAAATGCACTGCCCATTTGTAAAGTGCGTGCGTGGAAAAATAATCGTCGTCTCACCACACCATCTTTCTCTAAGCGAACTTAGAATACCTACCGAACTATATGTCGCATGCATTGTCACGCTTCAGGTTCTGCAGTCCAACCTTTCCTACCCGCAATACGAGACTTGGTGCCTCAACTAGCAGAGCGGAGGCACGGCAAAACGAGGACGATGGCAAAAAAAAAAGTCGCTTTCCTCAAATGGCATCTGATCCAATTCTTGTCCAATGAGAGATTTAGCAAGATGCTGAACACAAAATGCTCCATAAATTTTCCATTTCCATATGTCTCCGAGCCGTATGGTAGTACCGTAAGTTCTTGGATACATGGGTCCTAGCAGGAATATAGCAGCGATGATTGAATTAAGTATGTCGTATGCCCGATAATTTTGATATAATATTAGATGATGGTCCAACTTACAGATATCGGACGAGGATTACATTACATATGATCTGCAATGAAAGCTGCCGAAAGTCAAACTGTTGGTACCTTAATTGGCAAAGTAAAACAATAAAACAATTTTTTTTGCAAACGATTTGATGAATTGAGATTTTAGTGCATGTAGTGTAGAGGCTTTGCTTCTGGTTCTGAGGCTCTGAGACGAGACAAGGGGTTTGCCGGTGCAACCTCAGAACCTGTCCGGATGCGCTAAGAGGAGCGTTGGAGGCGCATTGATTGACTTGAATGAGTAGATCGCCCGCTCGAGACTCGAACCGAAATCACGAAGCCAAGGTTCTTCTCAGGTTAGTCATTCTCACTGAACCAAGAAAGAAAGCCACTCGGACTCCATGCTTGAAGGCGTCGTCAAATCCAAGCCAAGGTTTCCACGATTTAGGTTTAAATGGAATGCTTCGTATGCTAAAACGAAATCAATGACAACACGACGGAAAATCTCCCCCCAGAATATCGTGATACTTTTACCCGCAGGTGTGTCTTGTAGTATGTAGTACATGTAGTAATTGATGGTGCTAGGGGTATGTAGAGGGCAGAGTACAATATAAAATAAATAATACAAAAAGGTAGGTCGATAGCTGTCGTTAATCCCTGTCCAAACAGATAAACGAACAGCCACTAATAAGAGCTTTGGAGATTTGGAGATAGCGCTGAGACCACCGGGAACAGGGAACTCCTTATTTTCATTACCGGTTATGTATGGTACTCCATACAGTACAAGATGTAGACCCCGGCCTCCCATCTTCTTACTTCGGAAGCTTCCTCTTCTCTCAACATTCCTCTCGTTCCCCCTTCGTATCCTAGGGCCGTCTCTCGTTTTTAAGTCGATCGGTCGGTCGACTGGCTCCTGATTTATTTTTCTTTTCTAATATTTGTGTTTGGACTTAATTATTTACGCTGTACATCGGTTTTAATACTGCACAGTTGTGCTTCATAATAATATCGGAGGAAAAAAACCTGTCACTGTCACAACCGACCTCGTCCTACTTGTAGTCCTAATTCCAACTCAATGCCTTCGTTAAGAAGCTTCTTGGCTGCGGCCGTTGTCTTCGTGTCGTCCGTTCGGGCTGATTATGTCATTGACCCTAATAGTGTGTCTTTGACGGACAGAAGTAAGTCTTCTGCTACACCCTCGACATATCCTACCCAAGTAGCTCTAACACAATATCTAGACAACTGGTGCCAGTCTGAGAAGAGCACATGTCCTTTGATCTGCTCGCAGACAAGTTCGGGGAGTACATTGGTCAATGACTGCGATCCTGTAAGTCATCAGTCTCAAATAACGTAGTTGAAGCTCTCTTCCCATTCTGATTCCTCATCAAACAGAAAACCCTGACGTACGGCTGCGTGTGTGGAGACAACAAGCAACCCAACATCTCCGAGTATTCCCTGACTCTTCCATACTTCGTCTGCCTGGAATGGGGCGATCAGTGCGTTAAAAACTGCGGACAAGACAACACCTGTTCCAGCTCCTGTCGAGAGGACCATCCCTGCGGAGCTTCGAACCCGACCAGAGTCAACGTAACCTCGTCGAGCTCGATCCCATCGGCGACGTCTAGCGGTGCTTCAGCTACTGACAGCAACGGGGCTATCTACACTGGTCTGGCTGGTAGTGGTGATGGTGATGATAGCTCAAGCTCATCGTCTAACGACAGCGGTGCCTTCCGCGTCGCCGACAGCGATGGCTTGTTTGGCTTTGTCATCCTTGCTGCTAGCGTTTGCTTAGGAGTATTCATTCTCTAAAGATGGAGACGAACCAATTCTTTAGCAGATTTTGACAACACGAGATTTATTCACATAATGAGCGACATCCGACGGCTCGGGCCATGTGGACCTTCGTTCTTCAGGACAGCAGGTCAGACCATCGAGCTGACCAAGCTACGTCGACCGAGCGCCGTCCTCGTGGCCGGAAGCTATGATTCGGATTGCATAATCAGAGCGGTTGCGTTGGCTATCTACCATGCGCAGATATAATATCGTACTTGGGGAGCTTGGGATTTACAAAAAGCCTTGGAAGCTTTTTGCAATTTGGATAATGGGAAGCGTAAATGTTGATTCGGGTACATACTTGCTATACAGCAAATAGCTTGACAAAAAGAGATCCCGCCGGGGACTATTGGAGCATATTTACGCTCGTCATTAATAATTAAAATGCACGAGGGCTTCCCCTCTTAAGCCTCAGCTTCACAGCATTTAGCTCCTGGACCGTTGACAGCATGTGACGCCATAGGTAGTTCTTGAAACTGGGATGTAGTTGGTTGGACACATGATTTAAACTCAGATTCTTAAAAGCTGTGCTATCTGACCAATGAACAACCAATTTCACGTGTCAGCTCTTGATTAGGCTTTCGATGAATCAGCAAATCCCAGGCCTGCCAGGCCGTTTCATAGGATTCCGTTCCTGGCGGTTGTACAAGATGTACAGGGCTCTAAATGGAACCTGCCAAACAGGAAATAAAAAGGGGGTCTGCGCAAAAATTAAGTGGTTTGATTCGTGATCGACAACCCACGTTCTGGGAATCGGCACCCTATTTGCATATTTGCATGTGGAGACTTAGCGACTTAGCAGCTTAGAGGAAGAAAATCGAAAATCACCGGCCCCACTATAAGTCTCTCTCTCTCTCTCATCCACTCCACTGTTCAACTTACACCGACCTATTGCAACCTACAACTCTTTTTCACGACACCTGACAGTGGTGTGTTATTCGCTGTTGTAACTGTTTATTCAAGAAGTCTATTCGAAATATTCTCCATGGAGCCGAGTAGCAAATAGT